ACATTATTTCGTAATCATAATAAAGTATACAGATTAATCTAAATGAAAAAAATGTATTCATCACACTAACGGAGAGTGATTTTAAATTAAATTATATAATTTCCTATAACGTTAGATGACTTGAATTTTCTTATAAAATAATGAATAAAAGGTACAATTAAAACTTCAACATAGTTTTATAATTTTATCTTGTATTTCTATTTCAGTTGAAAACGTATTTTAGCAATGCGATTCAATTTAAATTCAAGATTTTTTTTCTTAATAAACAATATATATTATTTAAGATTTTGAGTTTTGATAACAATAACATTAAAATAGTTTTTACTAGTAAGTTATCCTTTTTTAAAGTTTTTCTTTATCTTTGTTGTACACAGCATGTAGGGGATTATCTTGGACATAATAACTTATTACGTTTGCATGAGATGTGGGAAGGGCGGACGGTTGAGAGGAGGTAGACAGACTGGACCCTGGAATCCCCACTTAGACACTTAGAATGGCTGCCGCTATAGTCCTATACTGTCATTGAATTATTCATGAGCCACTCAGACGAAGTTGAAATTTAAACTGCATGCGTTACAATATTGCTTTTACTCACAAACCCGCGCGTATATAATATGCACAAATACAAAAAAAAACTGCTAAAATATGCTAATTTATGATATAAAATATAAAATATCATTGATTAATCTAATATGTTTATACATAGGTAAGTTTATGTATAGAATTTATCTTATTCTTTTATAACAAGAACGGATTTCAAACAAAGCATTTTTCTAGTTTGGTACAGTAATTTTTATTTTTATTTAAAAAAAATACACTTTTGTAGCAACATAAAACTACAAAATTCATTGACCTCGAAAAAAATGGTTTGATAAAAAGAAAAACGAAAGATAGCATGTGATGCCATGACAAATTGTATACTTCTTCATAAAAACATATTGTGTCGATACGCTACTTTCTTTATAGAAATCATGCATGGCTTGCATGGCACTGATTTTAGTTTACCGTTTTTAGATCTATAGTAAAATTTTTCTTCATATACCTATACAACTATATACATCATGATAAAACCATATTATAAAAATTAAATCCAAAAGTAAAATAATTAAAAAGTAAATTATTTATTTAAAAAGATTATAATAACTAATAAGTGATAAAAAGTCAACATAGATCATTTTCCTCAATTCAAGTTAAATTATATTTTTAATAACTCTTTAACATAATTAATAATGCATGGCTTATTTTTGGAAGATATAAAATGCTTGCATAGATAAAATTAAATATAAAATAATTGACCACTTTAAGAGGACGTATATATTTTTGTGATTTAATATAATATTAAAATAGATATATAAGTTAGTAAATTAATGTTAACGATTTTTAATATTAATGAATAATATTCATTAAATATTGTACATTATACAAATAATAAAATCGAAGTATTGTTATACGTGTATAAATTTTGTAAATGGCTAATGATTTTTATGACGTAAAAAATATAAATAAAATATTGAGTTAAAAATGTTTCTGAATGTACCTATGGATAATATTATGTTAATATTTTATATATATAATTATGTGTATAAATTAAATGCAACCAACATACATGCAGTATTCAATCAATGCCAACGTGATAAACATAATTAATAATACGATTTAAGATCCACTATTTTAATGAATCAGATAATTAGAACTAATGACCATGAAACCATCATATTCTTCTTTTTAATAGAGGCGGCATACAACAAAGAAATAGAAGGAATAATGAGGCGGAATGTAAGTATTGATACTTTAGGACTGGCTGTTAGAATACAAAAATAATAAATACATTAATACAATATTTTATTTACCGTTACATTTTTTTTTTTTTTTTTTAGTAGACACAGAATTTTCTTATAGACCCAAATACGTAATAAATTGTATTATTTATTTAATATTACTCTAAAAACAAAATATAATAAAACAAGATGGTTTATAGCTAATTGTTTTATAAACAAAAATTTTATATTTGAAGATTGCATAATATTTTATAACTATAATTTATCTTAACAGCCTAAATAGCCAAATTTTACAAGACATTGAAACATAAAAGAAAGAAATTATTAAAATCTGGCATAAACTATGTACAAAAGAAAGGATATTAAATAACAAAATATTCGTTAGATCATTCATCACAGTAAATATTAAACACATTTCACAGATATAACATCGGTGTGTTTTTTTTTTAAAGAGTTTGTTCAAGTTAAATCTTTTGATTTCATTTTGATACTTAGACGGGACATACGTGGGGTGCCCCGACAGTGGATGAGCATGGTGTGAGGCAAACCGGCAGGTTTAATATGCACAAAGAAACCAGTTCTAAAATATTTCATACCTACTGGTCCAGGGATGCTCAGCAGTTGTTATAATACTGTTTGAAATGAACGATTCAACAATTATTATTCGTGTCGAGTCATTCAAATAATAATTACAAAAATACAAATTATTCTACATTTATTAATCAGATGAATATAGTTTGTATATTCAAATTATAATTGAACATAGTTTATTATTTAAACATAAAAAATTCTTTCAAAAAATTATACTGGTAAAGGAAAATTACATAAGTATTATAAAGTAATAACCAGTTAAATATTTGGAACCATTGCGGCATTAGTCGATCTTGAACAAGCGCATGCTGTGACAGAGTAGTCAGTCTGACCAACAATTCGAACAATGAAGAGTCTATTTCAATAGGAAACATGATTTCCCCCCTCCAAAAAAAATAAACAATAAATTTATACCTATTATAGTATAATATAATACAGAGTTGTTTGAAGTTTAAACAGATGGAATATGCAGAATGCTATTAAATAACCACAAATTATTTAACCTTTGAATTTTACTAAACCAACTTTAGGGCTATAAAAAGTATGTACAGTCAAAATATTATTATGTTGTATCAAATTCTATGAAAATTAATTTACATGACGAAATAATAATATTATCTATTTTATTTAAATTAAATCTATGATCTAGATCTAGAACATGTATAATGTATATAATATATTGGTATAATTTCTGTTTTTGCACATTATTTGATTTGTAGTAAGCAATAAGCATAGGTATTTTAACATCTTACTATGCTAAAAAATAAAATTTGTGAAAAAAACAGAAATATTACAGATTATTTTTAATTTAAAGTTTGTTTATTTACTAATTTGGTTATATATTAATTAGAAAAAATTGACTACGGCTATGCATACAACACATACTTGAATACTTCACTAATAGAAWATTAGATATTAGATGTTTATAATATAACGTTTATTAATATTTACAGGGTTTAATTTAAGATAATTTAAGATTACATATTTATATGAAATCTCAGTTGTAACTAATACAGTAATACACGTATATATTTGATTTTCTGGATAACGTAAATATATATATATATATATATATATTTGTTTAACAAGCAAATTTAAATCTAAATATAATTTATATAGGTACCTTTTCAAAATGAATTAATTTAGTACTAACTTTATCAGTCATATTTTAATACATGTAAACTAGTTATATATTTGTTTTATAATTTATTTAATATATTATTAAGTCACATGTTTATAAACGTTATGATTTTATGATCATTTACGATTTCTGAATAKGTACTTAATTTAAAAATAGATCAATTCGATTATATCAGATATGTTACGAAAAGCTTCAACTTTATTCTCCCTTTTATATCAGTGTTTAAATTCAATTTTTCGTTAAACATTACGGTGAAGATTCAAATAATTAAGATTAATCTAAAAATCTAAATAAAATAAAATGTTGAAGATATTTTTTGGAAAGTTAGGTCTTTGAGTCAAGTCCACCCTGTCTATGTTTCATAACAATAATTTATAAATATAAAAAAGGACCGCGATATTGCAATAGTCTTATGAAAATAATATATAAATGCTTATTTTTCAAAATGTTAATTAATATAAATCAATAACAATCAATATCTAATACTTTGACTAAAGTCAAATTTAAAGTAGGTAAATAGGTACTTATTATTATTTATATTACATTAAACGATTTATTGATAATTGTATTAAGTTTTTCAAAGTAAAACATTGCTTTACCATGTATATTTTTAATAGAATGCTTTTTTTGGGCATTCATTAATTTATTGGTCGATTACGAGTTATATAGTAAGTTCTAACGAACCATAGATTCTAAACATAAGAACATAAGGTGGGAACTATTAACATTTCATATTATAGAAACTATAGAAAAAGAAACAGAAACGCTTTAAAATAATGGAAAATATTTGTCTGATAAGTAGTAAAATATTAAATGCATATTATAATATTATATATTTAATTTTTACATTATCGTATACGTATAGGTAGTATATGTACCTAGTTTAAAACAAGTCACATTTTAAGAAATACAAAAACGAGTTTGGTATGCTACTTATTTACTGAACAAATCAGACAGTATTAAAAACAAATATCTTCTGTCACGGTTCTTTATTATCAATATTTCATAAAAATTTTGGTATAAATAAAGAGAGTAAGGTAACAGTAATTCCAGGAGCGGTGGACGCCCACCAAACTATGAAAAAATATAATTTATAAATTATTTCGTTTATGGTTTGTATTTTAGCAGTTGACATAAAAATGTATTTTAATTACAAGAATTTTGTCAATATGTTTTCAATTGGAAGAAAAGAAATAATCAATCGTATAAAATGTATTTATTAAATATAATATTACACTAATAGTGGAAAATAGATACACGGTTTCACAGCCAGACGTGTTGTAGGTACACGCATGCATATGACATGCGTATACGCACCGTACGCTTTTGGTTAGTGAAATGAGCTTTAGCATTCTACTATACTTAATATTTATTAACTATATTAATTAAATTACTGTTGTACCATAAATAAATAAAGTGCATTTTTTTCTAGCATATTCATGAACTTATTTCGTAAGTATCAAAAAATTAAATAAATAAAAATTACGTACCAGTTTTTTCCTTGATTTCACATAAAACGCTGAATAAAGAAGGTTTCATTCGATGGCAATTTAGTGTATGTTTTCTGTAAAAATAAATAATTGATACTTTTAAATAATTGTATATAAAAATTAATTTTTATATTAGTTTACATTATTTATCTTTGTTATTTTAAATAAACAACACTGCAATTAGTTTGGTTAATGGTGATGGTAGAAACTATGCTTGTAACTTAATTATAATGTAATTTATCAGGTTGAATGAAAATAATATTACACTAACAATTCATACTACATAACAAACTATTTTTAATATTATTTATTCTTAAATACATATAGGTAACAAAAGTAATAACTAACTATCATATTATAAGTTATTTTTATTTAATACAAATAATTACATTGTTTTTTACACAATTTTCAATAAGTATTACTTATATCATAAATTTATCATAAAATAATATGCTATATATCAGTTAAATATTATATGAAATCTGCAATAATTAATAACCTAAAATCATGAATAGCTCTTATAAAATACTATTAAGATAAAATTATAAGACCATTAAATATTTATCTATAAATCGTATTGAACGTCATAAAAAAATTTAATGGGCGTAATAAAATAATTAACCTAACGAATTATATTAATATCTTAAATAATTGAATTATCACATTATTGTATAGATATTATAATTTTATTAGAAATAATACAAAATATTTCTCAAGCTAAAATAAGTTATATTTAAGAGGACGCTACACCCGCATATGTTGTCTTCGTCTTACAAATGCGTAACATGGAAAATTTTATGCTCAGCAAATCACGTTTAACTCCGTTAGTTTAAAATTTAGAGTAAATTTACCACTTAGAAATATTAAAGGTAACATTATTATCGAGGGCACCTCTTAGGCTTTTTATTATATTTTAATTTTAAAGTGAGTTATGTGTATTTTAAAATTGTAAATTGTTTGTATATTTTAAAATACACATAACTCACTTTAAAATTAAAATATAATAAAAAGCCTACGAGATGCCCTCGATAATAATGTTACCTTTAATTTTTCAGCATATTCTAATATATGCAGGTGTAGCGTCCTCTTAACAGCGTGTCTTCCTACACCACAATATTGAACAAATTATGGTCGTATTATTATTATGTACCTTCGTATTTTACTAGTAGGTATACGGTATTTCAGTTACTAATATGTTGCTGGTAAATTTTAAAATACCCAATGTAAGTAAATTATAAATATTTTACCTAGAAGACCAGAAATTATATATATATATATATATATATATATATTACGTACTTATTTTTAAATTTTTAAACGATTCATATTTTATTTTTTTTGTATGATAATCACATTTTTGCATTTTTGAATGTAGACTTGTATATAGTTGTATGTCAGAAAAATTCACCAATCAAAAATACTTTCGTCTGAATTAAAATTCCATCCAATAAAATATTATTTTCTGTTAAATTTGTATATTTAAAATCATACAAAACAAGTTAGACAACTTCTACATAACCCAATAGAATTAGGGATCTAATATCCTATGCTTTTATTGTCTACGTCTTACCAACGAACGACCAACCAAATTTTCATTCACCAATATCATAAGTGCGATGTTAGTTTTTTATAATAGACAGAATTAACCAATAATAGAACATCAGGTTACAACATTTTCTGTGTTAAAGCGTTGGCGATTTTTGCGATATTTTAATTTTCAAGTAAATTGTAGGTACCTACATGAAATAATAATTATAATTAAAAATATCAACGCTTAGGCATAGGATAATGTTCTTACCTAAAAGTTTGATAATATGTCACTTCATTCTAATATCAAAACTAACATCACACTATTGAAACTAGAGAATGAAAATTTATCATATCGTATATGTGAGGTGTCTGACGTAGAAAACATTGATAACGATAACGTCCTATCATAATATTACCATTTAAAGCAACTATTATTGTATCAGAAATTCGTGTCTAATTCCATTAAAAAAAGGTAATGACACTTTTGGGTAAACTTGTGTAACATGTAACTTTTGCTGCACAAAAATTAAGCCATGTGGCCACATGAATTTTGAACACCAATAGGATAGTTAGATTCATCCAATTATCTATCTTCAAAATATAAAAATAAATTCATCTACATTTTAATACCTTTAATAAGTATTGTTCATAGATAAATGATATAAACACTAAGATTATTCGAGTTAAAAAAAAAAAATCATAACTCTTTTCATTTAACAGATGAACCGAAAGTGTCACATAATTTGTCAGTAGTTTTTACAACGCCTTGTATTTCATATACCTAACCTATTCGAATTAAAACATGCAAATATATAATACAAGTTATTGTATTATAACACCCGCAGGTATGTGATTTGTAACTTGAATAGCACTAAGAACTGTAAGACATAACGTCAAAATCAACCATAGCCGTAAACTCAAAAAAAAAAATACTATTTAATACAAATTAGATTTATATCTTATAACTAAATAGTAAATAATAAAGGTACATACTATTGGTTTGGCGAGACGTAATATATAAATTTAAACCTACATGAATTATTAGCAATAAATAAAGTAGTATAATATTTAACTCGCATACTTCAATTTTATAATAAGGTATATTCGTACATTTATACAGTTGTTACAGTTTTATCATGGTAGGCACGAGAAAATAAAAGAAAAAAATATTCGGATGCAGAATACTGGGTTTTTAACTTTAGGGAAACTACATTTATTACTTGAAGCCTTGAGCATACTAAATCCAAAGCCAGCTGACCAAGCGGCAAGCACACCAATGTAACTTTTAAGCAGTGGCGGAATTATGGGGTAAAAAGTGGACAATTTACATTCATCTGTCTAGTAGTTCAGAAGGCTTGTGCACACGCTACAATTTTTTTAGTATTTAATTGTGTACAACAAAAATTAAATAATTACTTATAAGTTATTTGTCTTAAAAGTCCGTCGTTAAATTTATTATTATTATTATAATATAAAGTCGAGTATAAAGTAAAAATAGTTGTTTTTATAAACGGAAATAATATTATTATGTGTACTACCTATTTATATTCAGAATGTTTCACAAATACTAGAATTTTATCAAGTCAGTCGTAGCCATATGGCTATAATTTTATATTATGAAAGAAAGTACACACTGACAACTAACGCTTACATTGGAGTATCGTGTATTTTATCGCGTATACCATTGCGCACATGGAATAATAATAATAATTCTAAAGCTTTATAAGTTATAACGTCATGTTATTTGAACTTTTTTCCAAWACCGACCCTGCTTTAAAGTACAATTTCTAATAAATTTAAAAATAATATATTTAAAAATCAAAATGACCTGCGAAGCCAAAGTTCTAATTTGATCAATGAAAAGTAATAAGATAAATCAATGAGTTTGAGACCAACTAATCGATGATTACAACCAACTTTAACTGGCTAAGAACTTACGAATAATAAAATAAGACATTTCTTATTATAATACTGGTGTCTTTAATTTGTCCACTGCTTGTCGAAAAGAATGTTATAAATTCCATTTAAGTAGTTATAATAGAGAAGTTGCATTTAACTCGTATATTTTATTTTTCACATAACTTATAATTTAGGCCATTTTTAACAAAAATTAACAATCGACTGATAAAAAATATAATAAAATGAAAAATAAATCGTAAAACTTAAAACTCAAAAATCGAGTTATACTTAGGGTAAAAGAAAGTAATGCTTAAGTTTAACAACGTGGTTTTAAAAGCAGCAAAATGCTATTCGGAATCCAAAATGAAAATCTTTTTTGTTATTCGCGTACCAAATGATATCATAGTTAAAACACTATAAATATAATATACTAACAAAATGTTTAGACTTAAACTATTTCCAGATTAAATCTAAATTTAAAATTTTGAGAAGTTGCATAAAACGATTTTCGAAACTCCCCAATATTTATTTTGAGAATCATAATAATATGATGTGTACAATATTTAAAAATCATTGGTATTAATTTCAATAAGTGYGTAAGAAACTATATGATACCTACAAGTGGTAAAGCACTACGGGAATTGTCCCGTGATATATTGAATAAATTGTTATTCAATATATTATCGCATAAAAATAGTCCTTAGATATATAACATAAAAAATAACACTTAAATTGAGTTGAATCAAATATAAAATTAAATAACAGGTTAAAATTAAAATAAACATTCGTAAAAATAATGTATCAAAAGTTTGGTACTGACTTCAGTCACAGGCGTTTTCTGAATGCCACTACTAGCATGTGCCACTAGTTTGTGGCTGAATGCCTCCCCCAGGTTCTTAGTAACAAATTCTTACCACAAATACACATTGCACGTGTTCCAAAAACCAATCCCCTTACCCCATAATAGATAATCGTAAATAATGGTCATTGGTCATAGTTACTGGGCTCAAAATAATTTTAAAAAAAGTTTAGCTGATTATTCTGAATTTTTGATGGGATAATTAATGACCGATCTTTTTTAAATTTCTTAAGAGTAATACATTTTTATCAGGTTTATTTGAATACCACTCTTAGAACTTTAAAATTTGAAAATTGGCTATT